TACATCTATGTTAATAGGTTACTTGAAATACGACAGAAAATGTTGTTAATAGCTAAGGTACTGAACTGATGATTGTAAGTTGTTTTTCTGACTTTTCATACATCTATGTTAATAGGTTACTTGAAATACGACAGAAAATGTTATTAATAGCTAAGATAATGAACTGATGATTGTAAGTTGTTTTTCTGACTTTTCATACATCTATGTTAATAGGTTACTTGAAATACGACAGAAAATGTTGTTAATAGCTAAGGTACTGAACTGATGATTGTAAGTTGTTTTTCTGACTTTTCATACATCTATGTTACTTTTAGTTCTAATTTACATAGGTATGTTGCTGTCGTCAAAAGTTAATGCTAATTACTTTTATAACTAAACTTAATTACCATATATGATGTAAATTTACTCTGGTATTAGAATATACCATGTATGATGTAAATTTACTCTGGTATTAGAATATACCGTGTATGATGTAAATTTACTCTGGTATTAGAATATACCGTGTATGATGTAAATTGACTCTAGTATTAGAATATACCATGTATGATGTAAATTGACTCTGGTATTAGAATATACCGTGTATGATGTAAATTTACTCTGGTATTAGAATATACCATGTATGATGTAAATTGACTCTGGTATTAGAATATACCATGTATGATGTAAATTTACTCTAGTATTAGAATATACCATGTATGATGTAAATTGACTCTGGTATTAGAATATACCATGTATGATGTAAATTGACTCTGGTATTAGAATATACCGATAATGAATAGTTTCGTTTTTTAATTTACTTTCTGATTATAAGCTTCTTTTTTTATTACAAATTACAGCTTTTACAGTAAGGAAGAACATTTGTTAAAATAGGTTTCGATCACTGATGCGATCCAAACCTGTATCCTTTAAAATAATCGCATCAGTGATCGAAACCTGTTACAATGATTAGAATCACCTTCTCTCTCATCCATGTTCTCAATAATAACTTACGAGAGTGTGTTTGTTTTCTAACAAAGCCACATTTGTTTGTGTGTTTGTTATCTACCACATTGGGCCATCTGCTGTTTCAATCGCTAGGAATCAATTTTAGTTGTGTAAGTCCGTAGACATACCATCGTCCCTCGTTCGTGTAAGTCAGTAGACTTACCACCGTCCCTCGTTCGTGTAAGTCAGTAGACTTACCACCATCCCTCCGTGGAGATTTAAGTTAGTCGCTGTTGTTTGTAATTAAGCACTAAGCTACACAATGGGCTATCTGTGCTCTGCTAACCACTGGTATCGAAACCCGGTTTCTAGCGTTGTAAGTCCGCAGTCACACCGCTGTGCCACTGGGGGGGGGGGGCTAAAGCTAGTCCCAAACCCATATAATAAGCTAATAATGCAATATAATCTATAATATAAATAAATATATATATATACATATAATAAACAGATTAAAGTTAATATATATGGCATATATGTTTTCAACATTTTAACCAACACCGTTAAGAAAGTAACATCAAACTAAGAATGGAACACGACTCCACTAGTTTTGATACTGAGTGTGACTTTTCAGAAGTGGTGTTTTTTTCCACACCATAATAAACAGTGTTGAGGTAGAAGAGACCAGCGGGAAGCATCCCCTGTCGTTTCCTTTTTCGTTGTCTAGTGTTTGTTCGTAATGTACGAGGGAAGATGAAAATTAATGCGTTATGCATTTTTTTTTTGGCTCGTCACCAATATTTTAAGCTATAACAAAATTCTATGAAAAACGGAAGCGGAGAGACGGATTACATTCTCCAAAAGAAACCTTTTCACCATTGTTTAACATTTCCTCTGATTTCGTTACTCCAGAGGAAATACGGTTCGAGATTATAGAGTGTGACGTAATAACAAGCCAACAATGGCCTACCAATGACGATGTTTCAAAATATCACTACCTTCGAAGGATCTAAAAAATAATAATAAGCGTAGGAATGTATCATTTCCGTACAGGTAGATGCACATATAAATACTCTTATAGGTACAGTTCCTTCTTGTTATGTGCTAGAGTTCCTCATTGGCTAGATGATGACGGGTTGGAACCAACAGGTGCGAGCTTAGGTTCTCAGTGGACCAGTAATTTCGACGCCCGCCGTATTTGGCCATCTGTTTCATATCGGTTTAGCCCGGTTCGAGGTGTTATCATGGATGTTTTAGACAAGACAAAGGGACTTGGACTACTACTGTTCTTGGTGAGTTAAAACATTTATTGATATTTACACAACGTCCATAAATGATTAGCCATTACAGATATCACTTTTACTGGTCAATAGAGCATGCAGGATAATCCAAAACAGCTCCCTCTCCTACCTGATGATCGGACCCAGTGGGTCGGAGGTCCCATGGTTACCGATAAACAAAACATTTAGGGATAGGTGATGCGTTATAAGATCGACAGTCAGACTATTCGGTCTGACAAGAGTAGCCTAAGAGTTGGCGATGGGTGGTGTTCATCAATTGTCTTCCTCCTGGCCTATGTAGTAGGGAATTTCAGCCAATAAATGGACTTATTTCGAGTTTAAAAGGTAAGGTAACTAAACTGAAAAATCACATTGGTATTGGTTAATGATTACGACGAAAGATCACATTGGTATTGGTTAATGATTACGACAAAAGATCACATTGGTATTGATTAATAATTACGACAAAAGATCACATTGGTATTGGTTAATGATTACCATAAAAGATCACATTGCTATTGGTTAATGATCACGACAAAAGATCACATTGGTATTGGTTAATGATTACGACAAAAGATCACATTGGTATTGGTTAATGATTACCATAAAAGATCACATTGGTATTGGTTAATGATTACGACAAAATATCACATTGGTATTGGTTAATGATTACCATAAAAGATCACATTGGTATTGGTTAATAATTACGACAAAAGATCACATTGGTATTGGTTAATGATTACCACAAAATGATCAAACATTCTAAAACATTATTTGAATTAACAAAAAAATACTCATTATCTTATGTGGCAATCTTACATGGTATATTCTAATACTAGAGTACATTTACATCATACATGGTATATTCTAATACCAGAGTCAATTTACATCATACATGGTATATTCTAATACCAGAGTCAATTTACATCATACATGGTATATTCTAATACCAGAGTCAATTTACATCATACAGTAGTATGCAGTCTAATGGTATGAGTAGTATGCAGTCTAATACTTAGCTAATTCAGTATACTTACTACTCATACCAGTATATAATTCAGTATACTGGCATGAGTAGTAGTATGCAGTCTAATACTTAGCTAATTCAGGCTAAGT